AAGTTTACCAGCATTCCTGTCCCTCGTGATTTTCATGCCCAGTATCTGTCTCGCTTCTCCTAGATCCTTCATATCAAATCTTCTTGATAGCTGATCCTTGAGCCTCTCGATTTCCTTGACATCTGATCCTGCTATCAGCATGTCATCCACATATAGCAGTAAATATAATGAAAGAGTTACCGAACCTTTTCACATAGCAACAATGATCAGCATTACACCTGGAGTATCCAATCTCCAGCATGAAATTATCAAACTTTCGATACCACTGTCGAGGAGCCTGTTTCAGTCCGTACAAGCTCTTCTTTAGGTGGCAGACCTGCTGATCATTTCCTCTATACCCCTCTGGCTGCACCATGTAAATTTCTTCTTCGAGATCCCCATGCAGAAAGGCCGTCTTCACATCTAACTGTTGCAACTCCAAATTTTCCGCCGCTACCATGCTTAACACTAGACGAATAGTGGTTCACTTAACAACAGGTGTAAAAACATCGGTAAAGTCAATACCGTATCTCTGTTGGAATCCCTTCACTACAAGTCTGGCCTTGTATCGCTTTGTTCCATCTGATTCCTCCTTGACCCGATAGACCCATCTGTTTTGAAGAGCCTTCTTTCCTTGTGGGAGATCACACATATCCCATGTGTGGTTCTTCTTCAACGAGTTCATCTCGTCGTCTATCGCAAGCTCCCACTTGCTCTTGTGGGCATCTTTAACTGCCTCTTCATAACAGTCGGGTTCCCCAGAATCAGATAAAAGTAGGTAATAAAGAGAAGGGGAGTACCTATCGGGGGCCCTTCTCATCCTCGGTTCTCGGCCCAGTGCCAGAGGCGTGCTGCTCTCAGCAATTGGTTCATCCGATTCTGGTTCTGCCTCTTCTTCCATACGCTCGATCTCATCTATCTGAGCTCCCACTGAATCTGCTGGTCTCATGATTCCAGTATTTGAAATATCGAGACCAACATACTCCTGAATAGTCTTGTCATCGTCCGGGTATTTCTTCCGGTCCTTGTACATTATGCCTTCATTGAACACCACATTACGACTGCGAATAATTTTCTGATTTTGATCATCCCAAAATCTATACCCAAATTCGTCAGTCCCATATCCAATGAATGTATATTTGACGGACTTAGCATCCAGCTTTGTCCGGTCGTCGTTCAAAATGTAAGCCAAACAACCAAAGGTACGTAAGAAAGAGAGATCAACTTCCTTACCACTCCAGACCTCTTCTGGAATTTTATTGTTAAGTGGGACAGAAGGCCCTCGGTTGATCAAGAAAGCGGCTGTGCTGACTGCTTCTGCCCAAAACATCTTGGGCAGTCCACTCTTCAATCGCATGCATCTCGCACGCTCATTCAGTGTCCTGTTCACCCTCTCCGCAATGCCATTTTGTTGAGGTGTCCCTGGGACCGTCTTTTGCATCCGGATCCCATGATCAGCGCAGTATTCCTTGATGGCTTCACTGTTGTACTCGCCACCGTTGTCGGATCTGAGACATTTCACTTCCAGACCTGTCTCTTTCTCCACGAGTGCTCTCCATCTCCTGAAAGTATCAAAGGCTTCGGATTTTCTTTTCAGAAAGTACACCCATACCTTTCTTGTGCAGTCATCGACGAACGTCATGTAGTACATCGATCCTCCAAGAGATGTCACCGGTGCTGGCCC